TCCTAAACCTGAAAATTGAACACTCGACCCTGAGGGTTGTTGAAATCGACAGGGACCTTTCATCAGTTCCTGCCGAGGAAGTGCTCGCTTTTGCTGCTTTGAAAACAAGAATCTTGTGTCTATCTTTAGTTCACAAATCGTACTAGTGTGTTGCCCAGGCCACACACACCTCCCATTGAAGGGTTGCACCTTTACATCAGAGTCTTTCCACCTCATGATCACTTCCTCAAGACTTCCCCTTCACGCTTGGTCCTTTGTTTCCTCTCTTGGGAGCAATAAAGACACCATTGCGACATTGACCCGTGATGCAGGAGTATTGCAATTGTGTTGCCTTGGCACACATGTAGACACACACACACACACACACACACGCGCACACACGAAAATACTTCAGTACATTTCTACTCCCTGATTCAGGGTGCCTCTGTGAGGGGTAAACCGGCAAGTCATTTTGTACTACTAGCTTAAGCTAGTTCAACATGTGGGATCAAGGGAATGAGGCACCTGAACTGTAACTCCCAAAATCCTTGCGAAAGAGCCAGTAAGTTAGGGCAGTCTATAACTTCGACAAAGGACTTGCCTGTGTCTTGCCATTTCGACGGGCCAAAATGAGCGTCAAGCCATGATGAGGGCGGCATTTTTGTAGGGTGTAGGGTTTTAGGGTTGAGCGTTTAAGGTTGCCGCACTATTGTTGAGGTACCATTCAAAATGATCATTTTTGTTCCTTGTTGGGTTCAAGTATTCATAAACATGTATGATTTTAACAATGATCCAGGTTTAGGGTTTGGGTCTACGGCTCTGTTGCCTGCGTCGTGCAAAGGCGAGCACGCCTGACAATCCTTCGAGGGGATGTCTGCTACAAAGAACCCATTGCGCGCATCGCAGCCCAAGCTGTCAGTGCAACAAATCGTAAACCCTAAACCGTAAACCCTTAACCCTTAACCCTTAAACCCTAAACCCTAAACCCTAAACCCTAAACCCTAAACCCTAAACATCCGAACCCTCGAGGGTCACCATGGGGCGGTCGCAAGGAAAGGGCCTTCGGAGTAGGGCTCACAGCATTGAGGTTGAGATTCTACGGTCTACGGTGTCAGCCGCCAATGCTAAGTATACAGGGCAAACTGAGACAACAACCTGGTCAACTCCAGCTACGACATGGGCTTTGAGCTTTCTTAGGGATCAGGCAAACACTAAACTCACGCGATTCTGCAAACAAATATCGAGTTTGGAGGGCTTCTAGGCTGGAAACTTGTCCAAAACGCGAAGCCTAAACTCCAAAACCTGAACTAGACCCAAGAGTATCCGAGGAATTCAGAGGGTGTCCCTTGTTGGTTAAACGGGGCTACTAAGGGAGCCTGAACCCAAAACAAAGGAACGAGGGCCCTACTCTGGGTCCTAGTGAACCCTTAAGCCTGAACCTGTCTTGAAGGTGTAAGGTTTGGCGCTGACCCAGGATGGCCCTTAAAAACCTCTGAAAAATGTTCCTAAATATAGGTTTAGGGTTTAGGGTTTAGGGTTTAGGGTTTAGGGTTTAGGGTTTAGGGTTTAGGGTTTAGGGTTTAGGGTTTATGGTTTAGCCCAATAAGGGAACGTATGATATGTCCCAAGGCCTACCGAGTCACTGATGGCTTAGGCTCCAAAGCACAACTCCGGAAACGGGCTCAGCCATTGACAAAGCCTTGCTACCTGCACAGGCTTCTGTTTGGGTTGGGGCATTCCCGAAATCCCTAAACCCTAAACCCTAAACCCGAAACCCTTCGGCGGTTTAGTGCTTCGGTTCCTTGGGAAATGGTGGGACCTTGTAAGAGATGGGGGAGTCCCCGGATGTGAAGTACCAAGGCACATGCGAAGCTCTCAGCAGTGTGTCAGTGTGGGTGGAGTCCATTCTCATACATCACTGCTGTAAACAATCTCCAAATCTCCAAGAATTCCGGAGCCCTGAAGCAGTCTTTCCTCCTCTCCTTACCCGCCCTAAAGTCAAAGCCCAAACCCGTCCACCGAAGCCTCAGAAGTTGATCTGCAGCGAGTCGGTGGTTTGCGAGTGGCGACGGGATTGCGAGTTTCGCTTCTGAAGCGTGGGCCGCGCCGCCGCCTGTGGTGGGCTGTAGGCTTTTGACATTCTCATTGACGTCTGAATATGGATGTACAGGTATGTTTGCATAGATATACTTAGACAAACAGAAACATGTGAGTATACATAGACAGATACATATGCGTCTACGTATACATATACATGCATGTATGTGTACAAAGGTATATAAACGAATTGCATGCGGACATGTAATTACATAGCTGCATATTCATCCACATGTAAACAGATATACATATATACATATACGCACATATACATATATTTCGTATAAGCACATATACATGTACACATCTGTACACATGTACACATGCACATATGTACATAAATACAGAAATACATCTTTCTAGCTACACGCACGCGCAAGCAGGGTCAAGGGTTGGGGGACCCCGAGTCTGCCCAACTGCGCGGGGCCTGTAGTGTTGGGGCATCTCGGCTGTGATGTGCTTTAGGGTTTAGGGTTTAGGGGTTTAGGGGTTTAGGGTTTAGGCAGCTATCTTTTTCCTGCTTCTGGGGGTGTGAAGGTCGGTGCTATGATTTTGTTTTCTTTTTTTTTTTGGGGGGGGGGGGGGGCGGGAGGGGCTGACAGATTTTGGTGCTTGTAAGATTTTCCCAAGATGTCAAGGGCTCCTGTTTTACAGACTTTCGCCTCCGAATGATGCTTGCTTCTAGGGTTCCTGTGATAATACAGAGCCCTACAACCCTAAACTCTATACCTTGGAGTTTAGACTTTAGACTTCAAGCTTAGGGTTTAGGGCTGCGGATTTTAGGGTTACCCCAAATAGATCAGGCTCAAGCTGCGGCCTCGGGGATTTGGGGCCAAGCAAACGCACCCAGAGCACCCTAAACCGTACTCTTCCCTGAGAGCTTAACCCTAAACCCTAAACCCTCAACCCTAAACCCTAAACCTATAAACCCTAAACCCTAAACCCTAACCCCTTCTGGTTCGGTCGAAGAGAGGATTTAGGGGGTCTAGGGTTCGTGTTTCCGGGTGACGGGACTACTTTCCTGGCTGATCTTCACGCCACGATCCCCAACCTCAAATATGCCAAACAGACAAAGGATGCCAAAAAAATGTATTGTGTACACACAGAAATCTGAGAGCTAATCTTCTGCACTCCAAACTGACTCTGAAAACTCGATAGGCATCTTGTATACCCCAGTCACAGCACTCAAAATGAGCGGGAATGCATAATAGGAACCTGATGTCGGGGCCTTGATAATATGAATAGGCTTGTGGAGCATACTATAGTATAACTACAAAGGGACTGTGAGGGAATGCCATGAGTATTTATTCCGACCCCTACGTCGCCACGACAAAGCCCAGCCTCCCGGTTCTGCGTGAGCAACGCCATGAACCTTCCCGTGGAAAAGCATAGGATGCCCCCGGGTTTAGGGTTTAGGGTTTAGGGATGTTTAGGGTTTAGGGTTTAGGGTTTAGGGCCATGAACTTCGAGAAGGATGCCCAGTAGCGCCCCGAATTCCCTTTCCTTTAGGGGGTTCCCGGGGTGTGCATCTAGGGTTACTGGGAACTCACGCGAAGGGTGCGTGTGTTGAAGTCTCCCAGGGTCGCATTCCCAGCAAGCTTAGGGGTCCTGGAGTTCAGGGCATGGGGTTTGCGGAAGCTTTAAGGCTTGCATGTAGGGTCTAAGTTGGCATCATGAACGCGTACCGCCTTCCCTCATGTCACTGCAGTGTCTTTCTGCAAACTACTGGGACATCGAACAAAAGCCTCGCCAAGGTATGGGAAAATCCGTCACTGCAACACCCAAGGTTGAAGAATTTTAGGCGAGGGCTGTAGGGTATAGGGTTGAGGGCAGCCGTAAGCCCTAAACCCTAAACCCTAACCCCTAAACCCCTGAAGCCCTCTATCCTGAACCCTAAACCCTCCGCCTTCTTCCCAAAGATCCCAAGCTTCCTCTTCAGGGTCCCGGGTCTAGGTCCTAGGTCCACCTGATTGGGATAGGGTTTGTATACCGCCAACCCAAAACCCTCAAACGCTGAGGGCACTCTCTCATGTTCAGCTCCCCGTCGCCGTCCACATCGTACCCTTGGCGCGTGAAGCTTTACGCCAAAGATGTCTCTATACTCCCCTTAGAACCTTATTCAAAAACATGTTCAATACCTTCTTGGGTTTTATATAGACCTTATTAAAAATAGTATTTTTCATATCCTCTTGGGTTTTATATAAAACAAAAATAATTCCCAAGGGGAATATAGGTCTTGCTTGGGCGCATCCTCGGAGTCGAGTTTGGGGCCTAGGGGTTTGGGTTGTTGGGGGTTTGGGGTTTGGGGTTTGGGGCTTAGGGGTTTGGGGCTTAGGGGTTTGGGGTTTGGGGCTTAGGGTTTGGGGGGGGGTTTAGGGTTTTGGGGTTTAGGGTTTAAACCATTAACCCTGAATCCTAAACCCGTTTCCGGACCTCGGTGCTCAGAAAGCCTCTAGATTCGACATCTACGCTAGATCCACGTGCAGGGGTGCAGCGCAAAACCCCGCAAACTCTGGGGCTGGCACGATCCAGCAGCTCCATAGCCTGTGTGGTGCAAAAGTCGCAGTACATGATCTGGGGTTATGCTTCTCTGGACATCTGAACACCACTCTGAGGGCAACGAAGGGAATGCCCTAAAGATTGTGCACTTGACTTCCTCGTCAAGTCTTGAAGCAACTCAAGACCACTCGAAGCTGACAAGCTCGCAACTCAAATCCGCAAACCCCTAAACTCCAAACCCGCAAGCCTCAAAGCAGGCTTACAAAGGTTAGATATAGGGGGGGGGGTTATCTTCAATGGGTACGGCGCGTTTTGGGGTTTAGGCCTTATAGGGAGGAGTATAAAGACGTAACGTTGGCAGCTATCTGGGCTTCTCATGTTTTACAGATTTTTGTGCAGGCCCCCCCAAAGATTTATGTGGCCGCCTCGTCTCGAAGCTCCGTGCCAAGCAAGTCCTCGGAAGATCCGAGGTTTTGAGCCCTAAACCCTCTAAAATTTGGGTTTCCCAGCGAGCCAAAAAAAGCCCTGGCGTAGAGAATGTACCTTGTTTCAGAATTAGGACCCTCCACATTCTGGTTTCTAGGTCTATTCCGTCGCTTGATGAAAAGCTCCTAGTTCACAATGAGCAACCACACAGTTTGAAGGCTTCTTCTTTGTTTTGGCCCGCTGGAGAGCGGCAGTGGCCCAACAGGCAGGAGGGGAGCCCTAAACCCTAAACCCTAAACCCTAAACCCTGAACCCTAAACCCTAAACCCTAAACCCTAAACCCTAAACCCTAAAGGTCACAGGACTCCCCCGTCAATTACCTTCAAAATGCAGTCCTGGGGAAACGGTATGGGGTTTCGGGTTTTGGGTTTAGGCCTAACCGAAGTTTCCTTTTCATCGCCGCCGGCGGGGGGGGGGGGGGGGTTCTTCAACTCCGCCTGGGGACTTTTGGTGGTTCAGGGCTTAGGGTTCATAAAGCTTCGGACTTGGGGTTTATAAGGGTGTAAGGTTTGGGATTCATAGGTTTTGGGGTTTCAGCGGAGGTCCTGGGTAGGGCAGCCTTACCTTAGCTGGTCTTGGAAAGCCCTTCAAAGATCAAGCTTCCTTAAAACTTGAATCAACCCAAACTCAACGATACCAGCCCTAAACCCGAACCCCTAATGCCTAACTCCTAACCCCTCAACCCTAAACCCTAAACCCTAAACCCAAATTTAAACTTTAAACCCTAAAGCCTAAACCCAAAATCAATCCGGTGTCCTCCGGATCTGCATCCTTGAGGAGCTGGAACAGCTCCTCGGAAGTCGCGCGGAGGTAAGGTCGAGGCTGAACGCTGAGGGCTTAGGGTTTAGGGTCCAAGAGCTAATTTTCCAATTTTGAGAAGGGGTTTGGGTCTTAATTTTGTTCTTGGGAATTCGAGGGTGGGGGGGGCGCCTCGGTACTGGCACCCTAAACCCACAACTGAGGAACAGCGCTCTCTCCGAAAAGCGATGCAGTCTCTACCCCAAGCCATGTCCTAAACCCTCAACCCTAAGCCCTAAACCCTAAGCCCTAAACTCTAAACCCTACACCCTAAGGCTCGATCTGGGTAATTCTCTAATCTAGTGTCCCTTTCCTGGTGCCTCGCGAACCAAACCCTAAGAATCCTTTACTCAGAATGCCTCTCGCGCTTCTTTGGGCTTGCTGGTTCTCTGGCCCTTCAACCCAACAGGGCTTTAGGGTGTGGGGTTGACCCTAAACCCTAAACCCTATCAGGTTGATCCTCCGTCCTTCGTGCGCCTCATCTAACACTCCCCAGTATCATTCCGAAATATACCGAAAAGTCAGAGGCACGTGGATCGAGATCTTGCCGCTGGAATCCCGGTCGAGGGCCCGAAACACCTGGCGCTTGCTCTGGCCAAGGCATTCCCAGTGAGCCCTGTGCGCGTTCATAAAGCGTTATGCCCCTATTGCGTAACAAAGATCACCCAGTTCCCATTCTCAAGCAAGCAATATACCTCACTTCGCAATAAGGACCTAACCCCGAATCCCGAATCCTAAGCCCTTACCCTTCAACACTAAGCCACAAAGAAGCTGCCACAATTGAGGGATACTGGGTTTCTGGCTTGGGGAGTCAGGGTTTCAGGCTCACGTTTGCCTGTGGGTTCCGGCCCAGGAGTCCACTTGCGGAACCCTAAACTCTAATCACTAAGCTTCGAAACCCCAAACCCTAAATACATACTGCAATCACAACCCCGTAATTTCAGTACTGCCCTGTCCTATCTAGTCTAGGGCCTTTTCGTGGGGCTCGTTTCCTGATAAGGGAACCTCCTTGAACTAAAAAACAAGATGGTACCACTGGGCTACCAAGCAATGGTTCATGTATACGTATATTTATATATATATATATATAGACAGATAAATATTTATGTGTGTGTCTGCAGAGTATCACAAGTATGATTCGATTTAGTGGAAAATCTATGAACTCCTGTAGTACCGTGGCGCCTGAAGGCACAAATCCTCGCGGAACAGGATCTTGCGGTCGATTGCCGCAGCCATGAACTCACCTTGCCAAGAGGCAACCCTAAACCCTAAACCCTAAACCCTGAACCCTAAACCCTAAACCCTAAACCCTAAACCCTAAACCCTAAACCCTAAAGGGCCCTTGCAGGTTCACATGGTGGGGGTATGATGGTTAAAGCCTTGGCTTGGGCATTCTGAACTATGGGCCCCGTTAGGGCGGTTTATAGGGTTCAGGGGTTTAGGGGCTTCCGTGGTCCCCAACAAGAGACCCCATCCAGAATGCCAACTCCAATTGAAGCATGGTCGCTGTAGTCGATCGCACCGCTGCCATCAGCATCCAGTGCCTAGCAGAAGACGCCCGGTTGGGGAGGGGGGGAGTTGGGGCGGGGAAGGGACAGACTTCAGAGGTCTTGTGGTTCTCGAGTCTTGGGAGTCTGACCATCACCTCTTGAGAGGTTGTATGGTTGCTCTGCTTCAGTGGATGAGTTTAGGGCTGCGGCACGCGCAGGGGCTCGAACACACCTTATCAACCCCAGCAATGAAGCGGAATTCTCACGCATTTGTGAAGGGTTTTCAGGGACACTCAATGTTGACCCAACAAGGGTTTAGGGTTTAGGGTTTAGGGTTTAGGGTTTAGGGTTTAGGGTTTAGGGTTTAGGGTTTAGGGTTTAGGGTTTACGGTTTAGGGTTAAGGGTCCATGATTTAGATCAACCCCCACATGGACGAGGCTCCTCATTCGGCGTGCTAGTCCCTTGTTGTTGCACACGAGCTTGCATGGAGGTTTGATGACGCTGGAGCTATCCTAGATCTCCAGCCCATGATTGAGGGAACCGGCGCACACTTCGACAGAAAGAGACTTCCTCAGATCCTCTGAAACCCAAGGCTACACCACCGAAGGACCCAAACAGTCAAGGCACGTCAAAGAAACAGTGGAGACAACGGGAGACAAAGGGAGACGAAGGGAAACGAGGAGCACAGCAACCCGGCAAAGCCACCCACATGAAGGAAGAGAAAGGGACACAAAGGGAGACATGGAGCCCAGGAACCCGGCAACAGTCCTCAGAATGTCGGCAATCCTTTCATTTAGAACCCCAACAAACAGTAGACTGTTCGGGGAGTAAACCCTAAACCCTAAACCATGAACGCTAAACAAAGCACTATGTAACTCTTCAAGCAGGCAATCCTACATCCTCAGCCCTGCACCGCAGACCCCGATCTGTAAGCCCTAAATCCTAAACCCCGCAATCCCTAAGCCATCGAACGCCAAGTGCTGGCTTCCGTGTAACGAAAAGACCCGCTCTTAGACTTTACGGTTTAGGGTCTAGGGTTCAGGGTCTAGGGTCTCTAAAGCTCGAGGCCTACCTGACTGCGCGAAGCTTCCTGACCAGGCCTCGAACAGATCTGCCAAGTCTCCGAAGCTGTCCTTGGTGTAGGTTTGAGGGCTTAGGGTTTAGGGTTCAGGGTTTAGGGTTCTGAGCCTCTCAATCTTTAGGGTTGAGGGTTTAGGGTTTAAGGGTTTCGGGTTTTGTGGTTTAGGGGTTGGGGATTAGGGTTTGTCAGGATAAGCGGAAAGGTTGCTGGTAGGTTTTAGTAAGGACTTGGGGGAAGGGTTCTGAAAATGTAGAGAGTTGGGCTCAGTCAGGGTCTTTTCGTTCAAGCTTTGGGATTCATTTGGGTTTGCTGCTTGGGCTTGGCTGTCTGGCTATGGCTACGGTATCGTCTCGGGCAACTGAAGTAACAACTGAAAACTCTTCGACTGCCATTCAGCAAAGCTGAAGCATTACCCTAAACCCTAAACCCTAAACCCTAAACCCTGAAACCCTGAACCCTAAACCCTAAAACCCTGAACCTTGGATGAGCAGAAGTCGACATCAAGCTTGTAGGCGTGCCATCTTTAGAGGCTTATCCGTTCAAAAGACCCACATCTGGCAAATCTCGGCAAATCAGCAACAAACTGTGAGCCTAAGCCTAAACCCTGGACCCCAGCCTACTGGGTAGGTGCCTAAACCACTGCATTGTGGAACCCCAAACCCTAAACCCTAAACCCTAAACCCTAAACCCTAAACCCTAAACTACTACCCCAACTACCCTAACTACCCTGATACCCTACGTACCCGAAATACCCTAACTACCCTGAATCCTAAACCCGAAGCCCTAATTAATGATGAATTAGGACGGCCCACGCCAGGTCGGTCCCCATGTAGCCAATTTCCCTAGATTAAGAGATGTTCTTGAAGCAATGGGATTCGGGATTAGGGCTTCGTTAGGGTTTAGGGCTTGCGTTGAGGTATGGGTACCCTAAACCCAAAACCCTAAACCCTAAACTCCTTTACTTCGGGGGGGCGCAGGGTGTGCCGCAGCAAGCTCAGCTCAGCTGGACACACCCACACCCACCCCCCACCCCCACCCCCACCCCCACCCCCACCCCCACCCCCACCCCCACCCCCACCCACACCCACACCCACACCCACACGCACCCCCTCTGCTGTGCACATCATAGGGTATTGCGCGAGGAGCCCAAGAGTTCCAATGGGGTTTAGGGTTTAGGGTTTAGGGTTTAGGGTTTAGGGTTTAGGGTTTAGGGTTTAGGGTTGAGGGTTTAGGGTTGAGGGTTTAGGGTTTAGGGTTTGGGGTTACCAATCCTAAGTCGCAAAGTCAATGCCCTCAGTCGCAGGGAAAAGGGGGGGGAGCTTTAACAGGCAAGTCTCCCGTTTGAAGTCCGGTGTGTCCCTGGGCACTTGGGCCAAGCTCAGGCGGAATTCCTGTTTATGCACGGCAAGATCGCAGGTCGTGACCAGGATTTGGGAATCAATGTGTTTGGGGTTTAGGGTTTAGGGTTTAGGGTTCGGAGCGTTCGGGTCCAGGCTAATCTGCGCAGCAACCATGCCTACGATTCGGATGTAGGATGGAAAACATCACCCATATTAGACCCAAGAGTAACCCTTTTGGCCTTATGAGGGAACCTAAACCCCAAAAGAGGAACAAGGGCCTACTCTGGGTCCTGTAGTATATCATGTGGCATGGAGGTCTTCCTTAAACCTACAAACTCTTGTCAATGACTTCTGACACTCATTGACTACGATACTTATAACGTACGCTTACCTTCTCCCTCATACCCGTAAAGCCTAAACCCCAAGATTCTAAAGACGACCCCCAAGGCATACGCCTCGCATCGGTTTACGGTTTATGGCTTACGGCTTACGGCTTACGGTTTACGCTTTAACGCCCTGACTAAATCACAAGTAGGAGCCCTCAAACCCTAACCCCTCGCCCCTTGCAATATTGAGGTGGTGCAACCCCTTAACCCTACTTTGGAGTAGACCCTAGAAAAGAGTACATACTTTTAAGGTATAAGTAGCAAGAACAGGAACCCATAACCAAAGAAATGTATTGAAGTATAGCACTCCAAAACTCGGTCAATACTCAAGCTGGAGGTTTTGGGCTCCCGTGAACCCCGTGTCAAACTTGCCTTCCACATCCCATATGCCACCAGGTCTAAGTCACCAGCACCCAGAAGCCATGCCCGCTTCTAAACCCTTTCCGCCAAACGCACCGTCATCCAGAAGCCTCACTTCTGAACCTTCTACCCTGAACCCTAAACCCTAAACCCTAAGCCCTAAACCCTAGACCCTAAACCCTAAACCCTTACATCAAACACCATGCAAAGGTCCTACAGTGTAAGGAAAGCTTGGGCCCTGGGAGCTACGGGCCTAGGGGTTAGAGACAGGTTTTGGTCGAGGGGTAAGATGCTCAAACGAGAATGGGTCTGAGGGTTTAGGGTTTAGGGTTTAGGGGTTAGGGGTTAGGGGTTAGGGTTTAGGGTTGAATCAGCAACAGCAACTCCGCGCAAATCCGGCGTCACCGAGCCCTCGGTTCGGGGTCCTCCAGGGACAAGGAGCCGTCGCCATTCGTGTCGCTGGCCTGAGAAAGGGCTCGTGGGTCTTTCAGTTCCCGCGGAAATTTAATTGGTTCAGGGTTTAGGGTTCAGGGTTTAGGGTTTAGGGTTTAGGGTTTAGGGTTTCGGGTTTAGGGTTTAGGGCCAGGTCTAGCTTGAGAAGACTGTACACTGTACGCCCGAAGCCCTAAACTGTCGGGGATTCACCCGAAGCACATTCCTGCTGGCTTGGTGATGCAGACCACTCCTGAACCCTTAGGGTTTAGGGTTTAGGGTTTAGGGTTTAGGGTTTAGGGTTAAGGGTTTAGGGTTTAGGGTTTAAGGTTTAGGGTTTAGGGTCTTAGCCCCTAACCCCTATGGGCTAAGGGTTAGAGATGTGCAGGAAAGACTGCCTTTTTTGGACCATTAACCTACGAAACAAGGCTCCCTTCGTGATTCCCTGGTGACTGGGGAGCAGGTGCCTCGACGCAGTACATCACCAGAGCACCACATGAATACAGTAAGAAGGAAGCTAAGGACCCTTGCATTCATTTTCCTACTCCATTTCCACGGTGCCCTTCTGTGAGGTCCCCAATGACACACGAAACTAACTTGGCTCTCTCTCTCTCTCTCCTGCTCTCTCTCTCTCTCTATCTCTCTCTCTCTCTCTCTACTGCTCCAGTCTGGTATCGGAATTCAGGCATAGATCCTGCACACGCTGAAGTATGTTGAGAGGTATTGGGCTCCAAGGGATGTGTGCGACAATATGAGGGCCTTGAACGCGTCGTAGATCTCGGGCAGGTCGTTTGCACCCAGATGCCGCGCGACAACCATCAGGAGTATCCTGAGCGCACCCGAGCATGCTACGCCAAATACGTCCTCTGAAGCGACCGCTGTGCCCAGACCCCAACGGAACTTGAAGCCTCTACCCTAAGCAAATATACCCTTTACCCCTTAACCCTGAACCCTGAACCCTTAAGCCCTACAAGCCCTCTCAACCCCTGAACCCTCCCAGGCCCAAAGGCCCTGAACTCCTGCAATGCTCAGGCATCAACTATTGCCCCGAAAGCCTAAAGCCAAAAACGGCCTAAACCCCCAAAACCCTAAAACCCCAAAAACCTAAAAACCCGAAAGCCCTAAAACCCTGTGGAAGGCTGCCTCCGAAAGTACGACGTGCTTTGATAGCGCTTCAACCGCGCGGCCACCTGCGGCGGTGGCTTAGGGTCTAGGGCTTGGGCTTTAGGGCTAAGGGTCACAAGTTGCTCCCTCTGTCAGGTGCCGTTCTTTGACTCTGGGCGGGGTTGCGTCCAAGCTTGTTGAAAGGTTTGTTGTTTAGGGTGTGTAAAGGTGTAAGGCATTGTGGCGTTTCTTTTTCTCAACACCTTGTCCTTAATCAGCCCTCGCAAGGTTCGGAACGCTGAGCAGCCTTCAGCCCTAAACTGGAGTAGTTCTCTAAATTAGGTTCCCGTTTCAGGGTCCCTCTGTCGTACGGAACCTTATAAACCAGACCCCCCTCGAAAACGAAGTAAGGCTTACCACTGACCAACCCAGGAGTCGCCAATCTCTTGGTGCAGGGTGGGTTTAGATTTAGGGTTAGGGCTTATAGGGTTTAAGGTAACCTAAACCCCACTCTTTGTGAGTCTCCTTAGGGTTCAGCGTGTAGCATGTAGGGTGTAGGGTGTAGGGTTTAGGTTTGAGGTACGGCTTCCCCCCCCCCCCCCCCTCTGCGCCTGTGCTGGCATGACCTCCGCCTCTTCGGTGTCCCTGACCTCGAGGCATTTGTTGGTTTGGTAGCCCATTAACCATCTTATAATAAGGGCACCCTTTTTTGGGTTGGTTTCTTTATAAGGGAAGAGCTTTGGGAAGTCCCTATGCCCTACACATAGCCCATTGACCCTGCGGGTCGTTCCAATTGTGTGTCCCCTGTTTGCGGCTTCCTTTCAAAGTACAGTCTATTCCTTATAGCTTTGGGCACATGACGGACTGGGCCGATGACTTGGAGCAGTTTCCATTCGCTTTTAACCATGCTCCTGCCGACTGATGCGATTTGGAACTTGGAACCAGTACGCTTTAGGGCTTAGGCCATGTCAAGGGCCCTTTCTTGCGCTAAAACAACCGGTTTAGGGTTTAGGGTTTAGGGTTTAGGGTTTAGGGTTTCTAGGCCCTTATATAGTGCCCTCGTAACCAGCAGAGACGTCCGAGTGGCCCAGGGGTGTATCAAGACCTCTTCCGCAGAGAGGCGGAGAGTCGGGTCTGGAACCAGGAGTCGACGGATCAGCTCCTTGGGTTTAGGGTTTAAGGTTTAGGGTTTCGGGTTTAGGGTTTAGGGTTCCCGGTTCGTCATTGTTGTGGTTGTTCTTCATGAGAAGCTCCCCCCCCAAGAGCCTAAACTCCAAACCCTAAACCCTTACTTTTTCACCCTTAGCCCCCTAAAACCCACCCCTTACACCCTCAAGCTCGACTGAAGGTCCCCGACACCCTAAGCTACCCATCCCAGAACCCCAAAGCAAACAAAAACTACCTGATCCAACCCCCATACCCGAAAACCTTAGACACTTAAACCCCTTGAACACCTGAAGCCCTCGCAAGCTCTTCGCACTCCTGCGGCTGGGGGGAGACCTTGTCCCAGACCTCACCGGACATTGTGAATGTACCGGTCCTGCAAGGGAATGGGGGAATAATTCTGTACCCTATGTCCCCGCCAGCCTCCCGCACACGCTCGTTCCCTACCAAGAACCAGAGTAAGGTTTAGGGATCTAGGGCTTCGAACCCTAAACCCTAAACCCTGCACCCTCAACCCTAACACCCTAAACCCTGTCGGCACACTAGCACTTTGGGCTTTGGCAGGCCGGTTGCTTTTTGGGGCTACGGGCAGTTTGCTGTGTGGGGTTTGGGGTCTTTTTGGGCTTGGGCACTTTAGGGTTCGGGGCTCGGGTTTGGGGTTGGGGTTTGGGGTTTAGGATTTAGGGGTTAGGGTTGAGGGTTGAGGGTTTAGGGTAGTTAAGCGTCTGAGTAGTGCTTGGGGTTTGGGGCTTTGGGGATTCATGGTTGGGGAGGTTGGCGCTTTGGGGTGTTGGGGCGTTTTGGGGGCAGCTTAGGGTTCGCGGATAGTAATTGGGGCTCAAGGTGCAGGGTTTAGGGTTTCGAGGATTTAGCGGGGGGCATTTAGGGTCTGCTGGCAAGGGCGCCTGGCATCCGAAGTTGACTTGAAGGGCATCTCGCCGCTGAGCATCGCGTAAAGAAGGACTCCCAGTGACCACATGTCCTGGATTTGGTTTAGGCTTTAGGGTTTCGGGCTTAGGGTTTAGGGTTTAGGGCATAGGGTTTAGGGTTAGGGTTTAGGGTTTAGGGTTTAGGGCTTAGGGCTTAGGGCATAAGGTGTAGGGTTTAGGGTTTAGGGCTTAGGGTTTAGAGTTTAGGGTGTAGGGTCTGGGGTATCGGGTCCACTGAGGTGAGGGCTTCGAACATGCGTCGCAACAAAAGTGGGACATCAGAAAGGACTGGCACGCGAGCCTCCTGAAACCGTATCACCCCTATGAAGCCTAAACCCCAAACGCCCTAGGCTTTAGAAAAAGAAAAACCTGAGCTCTTGAAGCCTAGCAGCTGCGAACCCCGGCCCTGAATAAACGGAGCCACAACGGAAGGGTCTGGGGGTTTTTAGGGTTTTGGGCAACTGCAACCCGATGCCAGTTCGAGTGGCTATTGATGACCAGTGTTTTTGGTATATCCGCCGAGGCCTCGGGCCGGAGGTGTCTAGGTTGTCAGAACAGGCACCCCCCCCTTTTTCGGGCCCCTTTTTTTGGCCTCAAATGGGTACCCCCCCTGGGAAACCGGGGTCCGCAAGCGGACGGTTCGCCAGGACCAGAGGCAGTTGAAGCCCCTCCCAGCAGGGCCCCCCACCCACCCCCCCTCCCCCCCCACCCCCCCACTCCCACCTCCCCCCCCCTCTGCCACCCCCTCCCCGCCCCCCCCCCCTCCCCCCACCCCACCTCCCCCCTACCGAAGAGCCAACTTAAACCTTAAGGGGCCTGGCTCAACCCTACGATCACTCCAAGCCGAACCCTAAACCCCAAAAAACCCTCAACCCCAAAGCGTGAACCTTCGCTGGGCCGGGCCGAGGCGGGTCGCGTAGCGTTAAAATTATTAGTATTCTTCTTCTTCTTCTTCTTATTATTATTATTATGAAAATCATCAGTATTATTACTGTTGTTGACATTTTGTTATTTTGTTATTACTATTTTTATGAGTATCGTATTATTATTATTGTTACTATTCGTAATATTGTTATGATGATGATTATCATAATTAAGGGGATTTGGGCACTCTCCGGGCCAGGGCCGCAAAATAAATGTCGAATGCTTAGCTGACAAAGAGCAAACTGTAGTCTGGTCGTTGGCGCCAGCCAGCCCTAAACCCTAAACCCTAAACCCTAAACCCTAAACTCTAGACCCTTAATCCTAAACCCTAACCATATAAACCCCAAACACCCAAATGTTTTTGGAGTCTTTCGGGCGGAGGAGGTTCAGGTTGAGGTGTCGGGCGTTGCGATCGGGCGGCACACTTCTCGGAGTAGTTCTCCGACCTCGTGGGAAGATGAGGTCTGGTTAGGGTTAGTAGGCTTTAAGGTAGATAAGAAAAGTTGGGTCAAGGTTTGGGGTTTAAGGTAGATTGTTTGGGTTCACGTGGGCTTGGGGGGGGGGGGGGGGAGGGTGCAGGGAACCCACTACGGTACGTACTCCCAACGAACTTCCATCCTGGGTGCAAACGCCCCCATGTGCGACCTGCTGCATTGCCATAGGTGCAGATTGCCAATGTTAACAGCCCCTGAAGCAGCAGCCGTGCACCCGAAAGCCTTATTTTGGAGCGTAAAGAAGATAAGGGGCCTATTCAGTTCATCGGGCATTTTGGGTAGTTCACACAAAACTTTCAACAAGGGATGCATAGGCACATTGTTTGTAGTCCTGGAGGCGCCAGCAATATAGAATTGAGGGAACCTCTACTACTGTATGACATCTTAAAATTGGGGCTTAGGGACTAGGGAATCTGGTGAACTAGCGTTTTGGGCTTGTAGGAGCTCGATTAGTGTTGTTAAGTTATTCCGGCAAACTTGATCTCGTGGCGCGTCCTGCTGAGCCCTAAACACCCCTACGTCTTATGCACAGAAAGCAGGACATGCTCCTAACCTCCAAACCTCTGAAGCTCGAAACCCTTAGCAGCCCGAACCCTAAACCTCTTAACCTCAAAATCCTTAACTCGTAAACCTCTAAACATCTCTGAACCCCAAACACCCCCAACTCCCCCAACCCTAAGCTTCTCAGCCCAACCTTAAATCCTGAACCCCTCCCCTAAACAACCCTACACACCCCTAAACACCCCTCGTACCTCTAAACCTTTCCCTGGCCCCTCAACCCCGAGTCTGATCCATAGCATCCAGGATGCTGCACCTCTGGCGCCTCATACGCCTGTCCATGTGAAACCATCGAAAACGCACATCTGTTCTCTCCCCCCACCCTACCCCTCACACACAATAAAACATGGATTGAAACCAAAGAAGAACAGAACAGACCCCAATATGATGTAGTTGTGCCTCTAGGGTCCCCCTCTCTTTTGTGGCGAGCCCTGGCAGGAGCAACCCAGGTTCTAGGGTTGAGGATTCAGGGTTGCGGAGCCCAAGTGCTTAGGGTTTAGGGTTTCGGTGCCATTAAGCTTCTAGGAACCTCAGAGAACCTCAAGGCTTCGGGCTTGAGAGCCTAGACCCCTCTGCTGGAAAGTTCGTGGGAGGTTGCGAGTAGGGTTTAGGGCTTAGAGTTTAGGGTTTAGGATCTTAGGGTTTTAGGGCTTTAGAGTTTTGGGGTGTAGGGTTTTACGGTCTAGGGCTTAGGTTAAGAAAGCTTATGAGTACCCTGAAGAGGCTTTGTTTGGACCACATAGAACTTCCGCTCCCCACCAAAACTCCATGTTTAGTAACGCTACCCATGAACCTCCAACCCCTAAATCCTGAACCCCAAACCCCAAACCCTAAACCCTAAAGCCCTAAAACCCTAAACCCTAAAACCCTAAACCCTAAACCCTAAACCCACACCCTAAACCTGAACCCCTCCCAGGGTTTAAAGGTTTTTGGGCCCCAGCGAGTGTAGGCCTCAGTGCCGCCCCGGCTGCGGAGCGTCGCCGTCTGTTTGAAGTGGCAGGCAATACCTGTTTGGTTTAGGGTTTAGGGTTTAGGGTTTAGGGTATAGGGTTTAGAGTTTAGGGTTTAGGGTTTCGGGTTTAGGGTGTAGGGCTGCTTAGGGCGCCCTTCGCTTAATTAGGTTTATAAGGGATCCGAAACCGGAAATAAGGGCATCCAGGACACCCCGATAAACACCTTATCATGGTCCCTATATACGGAATTGCAGGGCTTTGGAATCTAGGGGCTTCATCTTTCTTTAGTGTATAGGGACTGCGGTTTCGGGTCTATTCATCTTGGCTTTGGAAAAGTTGAAGCAGCTGAGATCTGCACCGAAGTCGATCAGCTTTGCTGGTGCTTCCTGGGCTCTGAAATGGGAAACCCAAAACCCCGCCCTAATCCCTAAACTCTCAAACCCAACACACTCCCAGACCGTACGCCCCTACGCCCTACGCCCTGAGCCTTAAACCCGAAACCCACAACCTCACTGGGTTAAGGTTCAGCACTTAAGACTTAGGGTGTCAGGGCTTGGACCCTCTCTGGGTGTACTACTATGTGGTGGGATGTTCCCCCTTATACTAACAGTCCTTTATCGGGATTCTAACAGGGGGTACGTACTAAAATCCCTCTAAAGGACTGTTTGTATGATTAGGGGGGAACAAGCGGGGAACATCCCAAACTATTTGCTTAATCTCAAGACCCCGCCCCCCCCGCCCCCCAAAAATAAATAAATAAATAAATAACTAAACTAATCTCTACATTACAATGTTAAGGAAGAACCATGTTGCATCTTTGTTTTCTGTCTTCTTCTTTTTTTCGGGGGGGGGGGGGGTGGGCATGGAGCAAGCAAATAGTAGTTAGGGATTGGCGCTGTTGGGTTTAGAGTGTGGGTGTAGGGCCGAAGCCTAGAGCTGCGTGTTGCATTTCGTTGGTGTTTGGGGCTTAGGATTTCGGGTTTTAGGGGGGGGGTCCACCTCCGGCGTCGCCTACCAATTGTAGGATTTCTCTCAGAAATCTCCCAAAGGGGGGAGGGGGGGTATGGAGGGGTCCAGGGGAGGTTCGACATAGGCGGGGGGCTGAGAAGTGGCAATTTTACACCTAAATACCCCCTCCCGGAACTCCCCTTCAATACCCCCTTCCGGAACCCCCCCTCCCGACCCCCCAGAGTGGGGTTTTGGGGTTTTGGGGTTTTGGGGCTTGGGGGTCAGGGCTTGGCGTTTAGGGTCTAGGGTTTCGGGTTTACGGGTTTCGCAGCATTTGCAGTCACGGCGTCGGCATGCGAAGAAACAAAAAGAATGTTCTCAGGCTTGATGTCACGGTGGATAATGCCCCGGTCGTGGCAGTACCTGCGCAGCGCGGCAGACGTTCGGGGATAGGACGAGGTGTAAGCAGGGTTGGCTAGGGCTTAGGGTTTCAGGCGCATACGGACCCTCTAGGGTTTAGGGATACGCAGCTTTGCAGAGTTGCGGGCACTTTGTAATGTTGCTTTCCGGTCGCACTTCTTAGGTCAGTGGGGCCAAAGGAGCTACTACGTAGTCCTTTGGGGGCTTCAGTACCTACTCTATGGTTACATGGAATTTTTGGGTATCGCAAAGGGGAAGCCCGGAAAAGACCATCTTCCTGCAGACCTAGAGCACCAAGCGATGGGATGACTTAGTGTCTTTTGGAACCAAGCAGATTGAGTTGTTGTGAAGGAGAACTTCAATTTCAAATCAACGTTCTCATATGAGGACTAAGCCAATAGCTCGCTGAAGCCTCTTTGGCCCGGACCGAAAGCTTAGGGTTTCGGGTTGAGGGGGGGAGGGGGGGGGTCAGAATCGACAGATATTAGGGGCTTCTGGGCTTATAGGGATTGGGGTCGTGAGAAAACTTCCCGTCTTGGTTATCTTCACTCCTGAATTAACGAACAGAAGTATCTCTGCATAAGTGGGCGTGGTGTCAGATGAACACGCAACGAGCAAGAACAGCATGAAGAACAACAAGAAGAGCCCACAAAGAAGACACCAAGACACTAAATTCATGTCAGTTGCATCAGAGAATTCCGACAGTTTAGGGTAGGGCTTTGGGAGAATCTGACTCAGTGCTTGCGGCGTGCTGGCTTCAAACAAGCCAGGGCCTTTTGATAAAAAGCTGGGCCAAGATTCTGGGGACCCTGAACGCTACACCCCGAAACCCTACACACTAAACAACCCTGCACCCTACAACCTAAACCCTAGTCCCTAAGTACACCCTGAACCCTAGTTACACCCTAAACCCTAAGCCCTAAACCCTAAGCCCTAAACCTTAAACCCTAAACCCTAAACCCCATACGCCCAAACAACTTAACACTTCAAAAGCATCACTGGAAGCCGAGCCCCTGGCCGTAACGCCCGAGCCAGTTGTCGGATTAGCTTCGCCACCTTTTAGGGGTTAGGCTAGGGTTTAGGGTTTAGGGTTTGGGGTTTAGGGTTTGGGGTTTAGGGTTTAAGGTTTAGGGTTTAGGTTTTAGGGTTTAGGGTTCAGGGTTCAGGGTTTACGGTTAGGGTTTAGGGTTTAGGGTCTTACATGGAGGTTCAGGGGTTGTTATGAGTGGGGTTGTAGGTAAGGTTACTGTAATTATCAACTGGCTATAGGGGTGCTAGGGTCTAGGATCCTAAGGCCTAGGGGTCTAGGGTTCTAGGGTTTAGGTTCCCCGGGGGCCTGGTGGCCAGGCTGTAGGGTTTTAGGGTTTAGGGTCCGGTGACATCGAGGCCATAGCCTGGGCTGTGGGAAGTCTATACTTTCGACAGGGATCAAAACTCGGATGGCCCTCAGAAGTGTCTGAAAAAAAACATTCGAAATAGGATCCTCTTGAACAACTACATACAAAGGTTAAATAAGAGAAATTTTCCAAGGGCCAGCCTAGAAAAGGGGATAGCATATCAAGATGACCCAGGCGCGGAGCCCACGGAAGCATGAAGCTTTTACAGGCTCGCTTGGCAGGCTCGGCCACGGGGAGGCATTTGGATCCCCTGCTTTCCCTTAGCATCTCATGTTTAGGGTTCAGGGTTCAGGGTTCAGGGTTTAGGGTTTAGGGTTTACCTGCAACAAAGGAAGGGCAACGGAATCAGAGTGCAACCAGGAACATCCCACATGCGAGAACAAATGGAACATGGTTTCAGGAGGAGCTTGTCTAGGATGGCCCTTAATACCCTTTGAAAACGTATTCCTGAATATGATGCTCTTAAACGCAATAAGGGAGAAGCTAAATGTCCCCAAGGAGTGTTTCGAGTTTTGGGTTTCGGAGCTACCAGGGTTTCAATGGCCCGAGGGATTGTGTGCTTCGGGATTATGGCGTCCGGGTTCTTACGGCGTTTAGGGACCCACCCTAAATTTCAAACTTTTAAACTCTAAACCCTACACCCTAAACCCTAAACTCTAAACCCTACACCCTGGGGGTTCAGACCCTAAACCCTAAACCCTAAACCCTAAACCCCAAACCCTAAACCCTAAACCCTAAACCTGGGGTCCCACCTTAGACCAGACACGCCCTTGTGGCCTGGGCTTCATCACCCAGGGCGCCCTCGGCAATGCGGTCAAAAAGCTCGCCGCCGTGGCACAAGTCCTTGGCTCTCTGTGGTTCAGGGTTTAGGGTCTAGGGTTTCGGGTTTAGGGCTTCGGGTTTAAGGTTTAGGGTTTAGGGTCTGAGGTTTAGGGTTTAGGGTTTAGGCTTTAGAGCTTAAGGCTTAAGGTTTAGGCAGAGGCGTATAGGCACCCATAGGAATGCGTTCAGGGCGCAGGGTTTGGGCCTGTAGTCTTTTGATGAAGTGTAGGGTTCCGGCGGCTCGAGGTTGGCCCCAAACCCTAAACCCCAGACCCTAAACCCTGCTGGCAAGCTGCCATCACGATGTAGATGGAGTCCTTGTCTTCGAAAACTTCCTTCATGGCGGAGGAAGTGCCCTAAAACCTGAACCCTGAAACCCTCAAAAATGGGACTTTAAGCTGAGAGTCGTGGGTTTTTGGCTCTCGGCTTGGGGTTGAGGGATAAGTCTGGATGGCAGAGTGTCGGGGTGATGTATGTATTTTGGGGAAGGTGCCACATCCAGGCCTACGTTTGGGGTTGAGGGCTGAGGTGGGAGATTTTCATGTCAGGGAGCCCGACCCCTGAAAAAACAACGACAGGGAACAAGGGCACGAAGGCTGGGGAGACTCACGCCCTAAACCCTGACCCGGACTGTGCCTGTGTGGCTATATTGTGGAGGGTTTGCAGTTTAGGGCCGTTTAGGGCTTGGGTTGAGATAATTCTTGCTTTAAGATGGCTTTGGCCTATTGGGGAGGGTTTGTGCTTCCTCGTAAAGTAAACTGACTTTCTTGCATTCTTTGGTAGCAGATGTCGCACTACGAAGCAAAACGCAGTTTGTGCATACACCGCCCACTACAAAAAATGGAGAAGTCTTCCTGGCGTTGGGGTTGCCTGTTAATTATCATGATCAAAGGACCTGAAACCCTCACCCCACACACAGCAGAGTAATGAGGGTTAGCTACACCGGCTCCTCTTAGCAACGTCGTTCATTGCTGCGAAAGTCCTCCTCTGCTTGTTTAGGGTATTGGGGTTGAAGATGGCTGAAAGCGGTTGTGCTTGTGCGTTTCTTCTCATTCCAATTGGGTGACATGCCATGCGGCAATGTGCAGGACTTTCCGCCCTGAACCCTCCGTGCCTCATGCCAAAGAGATTCAGGGCTTACAGCTTAATCTAGGGTCTAGGGGTTGAAGTCATGTGCCATTGGCGGGTTGGCTCTAACTCCTGGGTCAGGGCCGTGGGTTTCGGGCGGATGGCTTCAGTACTCCCAAAGTGCCGGCCAAGGCGCATAGAGTTTGCAAATGTTGGGATGGTCCAGCTGCTTGAGTACCTGGCACACGTGCACTTCACCCACACAGACTATGGTCGACGCGTGTGGCCTTAGGGCTTCAGGATTTCAGGATTCAGGATTCACGGTTTAGGGTTTAGGGCTTTAAGGGAATCCAATCAAGCATCTCGGGGCCAATTGAGAGCTTGGGGTCTGACCTGGGGCGTCACACGGCAACATTCAAGAGATTGCTTTAGAGTATGGGTAGTTCGTTTAAGGTTAGGGTTCCCTTTGCGGGTCCTCTTACAAATAAGGTGCTGTACTATATATAGGACCCCAAAAGAGGCCCTGATTGGTCTCAAGGCCATCTGACCTGGTGTCAAGGCAGCAACGTAAATCCTCAGAAGCTCGACATCCCAAAGAAGCACTCACCCTACACCCTCAACCCTCAACCCTCAACCCTCAACCCTAAACCATAAACCCTGCTTTTTTCGGCGAGCTCTCGCCAAGGCGTCGAAATCCGAGCAGGTCGAAGTCTTCGGCAAACTCAGACTCGATGAGACGTCGGGTGTTTAGGGTGAGGTCTTCCACGGAGAACCTCGGCATTTCGGACCTCGGCGGTTTTGGGCAGAGAGGATTTAGGGTTTAGGGTTTGGGGTTTAGGGTTTAGGGTTTAGGGTTTAGGGATGGAGGCCTCCGGGGCTGCAATCCCGAGGGGGTTCAGGGGGTGTTTGGCCTCCTACCCCGCACAAACCCCTAACCCAAACCCGAAACCCGAATTCCAAACACCAAACCCTGGCCCGAACCCAAGCTCCCCTCATTAAACCCTACAAACGCCACGAAGACATAGAGCCCCGAACCTGAAGGCCGGGGTTTGAAACGCCCGCAAGCCCTCAAGCTGGAGAGACCTAGAGGTGCAGCGCCTGGACACCCTAAACAGAAATGCATGGCGTTCTCTGGCCCAGTACAACTTTGTGGACACAAGTCCTGACAGAGACATGCCGCCTTCACGACCCTGCAGAGTCCGACCGAGGCAGAGAGAGGAGAGAGAGAGAGAGAGAGAGAGAGAGAGAGAGAGAGAGAGAGGAGAGGGGGAAGGGTTGAGGGCGTAGGCTCCCACATGAGCCCCCAAATCCGATGTCAACCCACCCCCAAGTCGTGGTCCTAAACCCCAGACTCTAAGCCCGAAATCTTACGTGACAAAAAACCCTTAATGCCCAAAACTACCCCTAAAAAACCCCAAACACCCTAAAGCCTTTTTAAAGCCCTATCAAAGGGCTCGTTGGTGTGCGGGAGCGTCGGCAAGTGCACAGCAAAACGCCGGCCCAATGCCTTGCTCGGGGTTGAATGAGGCGTAGGCTCTTAAGAGCTTTAGGCGCTTCCAGGGCTTTCAGGGCTTTCGGGTTTAGGGTTTAGGCTTTATATTGCAGACTTTGGACTTGGTTTCTCCCCCTTGATGTGCCGTGCAGCCCCGACCCCTAAACCCTAAACCCAAACCCTATAAACCCTAAACCCTCTATCTCATCCTGATCCCTCAGAAGGACGGCCTCGAGTTCTTCGCTCAGCCGCTCGAAGCGTAGCATGTTCTCCTCGGCCACGTAGCGCTCGCCCTGCAAGGCACTCGCGCGGTGACGTCAGGACATCAAGCCTTTGACATATTGAAGACCCCAAAGCTCCCCCCGAAACCCTAAACCCTCAAGCCTAATACCCTAATACCCTAATACCCTAAACCTCTTATCAAACACAGGAGGCTCGGAATTAAGCCAATCACCAAACAAGCAAGACCCGAAGACTAAATTGCAGCGACGGAGGGGATTACCTGTGGGTTCGGGCGGGTTTAGGGTTTTCAGGATTTGGGGTTAGGGTTTATGGTTTAGGGTATAAGATTTAGGCTTGGGGCTTGTTTCGGTGTTTGCAGGAAAAAGGCAAAGCCCTGTGGCGGGCTGGAACGCAACACTGTTTCACTAAGCCGACTGCCCCCCGAAACTCATGAGAAACCACCAATTTCAATCTTCTCAAGGCAGAACTCCCGAAGTTGGAGTGGCGGGGGGGGGGGGGGGGCTACTTGTCAGGATCTCTGGGGAACCCTACCTTCGCGTCGTAGATGTACAAGTGCTGCGGAATGAAGTGGCCGTTCCGAAAGGGCGGGCGGGCAGCACCTTTCGTCAACTTGTCCTCCACGTGCCCGGGTGTCTCCCCCTTAAATCCTAATTGCTTGAAGGTTCATGGGTAGTTTATAAGTCGGGTCAGTCGGGTTATAAGTTTTCTGAATAAGGTTATGGCCAGTTAGTTATAATTACTTACCTTACTTATATAACCCCACTGAGAAGGTTTAGGGTCAAAGCCCTAAACGAACACCTACTTGGTAGCCCACTAACCATATTGTAATACGGGTACCCATTGTTGGCTTGGTTACTTGAGAAAGGAACCTTGAACCCCCAAAGAAAGGCTACCACCGGGCTACCAAGCCTAAACCCCTAAACCCCTAAACCCCTAAACCCCTAAACCCCTAAACCCCTAAACCCCTAAATCCCTAGACCCTAGACCCCTAAACCCCTAAACCCCTAAACCCCTGAACCCCTGAACCCCTAAAACCCCTGAACCCAAGAAAAAACTCCAAAAACCCCAAAAACCCCAAAAACCCCCAAAACCCTAAAAAAAACCCTAAACCCCCAAAAACCCTAAACCCTAAACCCTGAACCCTAAACCCTAAGCCCTAAACCCTAAACCCCTAAACCCCCGCGTCTCCTGCAGCCAGGAGTTCAGCTCCTGCGCGGTGGCGCCGAGGCGGCGCCTGCGTCGGTCTTCGTCCCGGGCGGGGGCGGCGTAGCCCTTCCACCGGCACCTCAGTTGAGGTGTAGCGTTTGTTGAGGTTTCAGGGTTTCATAGGGATTACTTAGTTCAGGGCTTAGGGTGTCTAGAGTCTATAAGGGTTGGTAGAGTTTTTTAAGGGGTTTATAGGGGTTACAGGATTTACAGGGTTTGAAGGGTTTAGAGGGCTTATAGGGTTAAGGGCTTCGGCTTTAGGGGGGTTAGGTGTGGAGGATGGACAAAGAGGCTTTGGGGCTGCAGTGTGGAGGATGAAAAAGCGTTGTAATGTTCGGGTCGCCCAGTGTAGCCGGTAAGTGAAAAAGTGTTCGACATTTGGGTCCATGCGGCTATTTCTAGGTGCATACAGGTAGGGTTTGTGGTTTGTTAGTGATGTTAAGGCCCTGGGATCCAGTTTACTGGTATGCACGTCAGACATTCAGGCACCAACAGTAACATCAGTGCTAAGTAGACACCCTCGCGGAGGTTGCACGACATATTTTACAACCACCCGGCATCTGCAGAATTCTGGCTACAGAACTTGAAGAAGAGAACGCTGGGGCAAAGGACAAACCACTGTGGCTGCAGCACGAAGCACATTGCTTGCTAAAAGGATTCGCGCTCATGAAAAAACAGCCCTGTATGGCCTATGTACACCCTGGCGAAGGGGCATTGCGGTCCCTGGGTTGGTTTTTAGTCCTTGCTCGTCAGTTTTTCGTACAGATTTCAATGTCCCCCCCCCCCCCGTTCCTCTTACAGCTGAGAGGCCTACTGGGCCCCTAAACCCTAAACCTAAACCCCACAAACCATAAAACCACCCTAAACTCTGAAGCCCTAAACCCCTGAACCCCACAAACCACTCCAAATCCACCTGGGATGGCCCTTAGAACCCTCCAAAAAAAGTCCTAAGTATCATGCTCTTGAACCCAATAGGCGAAAGATGCAGGGCCTACTTAGTCGCTTAAACTTCATGTAAACCCTAACCTCCCGCACGACCAGGATGCCAAACTTCTATGGAAACATCCATTTGGGCCCCTTGTTATCTAACCCTTATATACACCATGTATTAAAAAGAGGGTTTTTAAAAACCCTCTTTTTTTTTAAAACCCTCTTATATACACCATGTATTAAAAAAAGACGCGCAAGGGGCCAGACTCAGGGCCCTTGGTTCCAACCGTAGATTGATTCCAAGCGAGGCAGGGCCTACACCCGCAACCCCTAGGTTTCAAGGGGCTTAGGGTTCAGGGCTTCAGGAGTGTAGGGGAGTCTTAGGGGAGGCTAGGGGAGTTGAGGAGCGCTTAGTGGCTTAGGGGAGTGTTAGCCGGGCTTAGCTTCGGGCAGTTTACGTGGGAGCTTAGGGGAGTTTACTTGGCTGCACTCAGGAGGGTAGCCATAAATTAAACTTTTAGCTGCCTTATTAAGAAACCCAATTAACCCAAAAAAGGGTAAGGATCTAAAGCTACAGTAAAGTACCATAGAGTTTAGAGGGGCCTCGGGGGTTCGAGGGAGTTGGAAGTTTGGGTTCCGGGCTGAGGATCTAGTACTTGGGGCTGAAGGTTCAGGTTTTGGGGTCTGTTGCTTTGGGAACTCAGGGTTTGGGAGTTGGGGTTCAGGGCTTTAGGGTATGTGGGTTGACGGTTTGGGGCGAGAGTTTTGGAAGTAGAGTTCAGGGCTTGCCATTTCTTGGAAGCCTCAAAGTTCCGGAACTCGGGTTCAGGGTACTTTGGGCGGGTGGGGGGGGGGTTCGGGGGGGGGGGGGGGTTCCCTGAAAACTCGCTCGCCTTGAGTACACCCGAAACAATGCTTAGGGCTGAGGGTTCGGGTTTGGGGCTTGGAACGTAGGGTTTCCGGTTGATTTAGTGGGATTGCGGATTTAGGGCAACAGTCTTCGGGTTTCGGGCTTGGGGGCTTCCCAACCGCAGTCCCGGGCACCGGAACTCGCTGATGGCGCGAGCATAAGGGCAACGGACGACGGCAAAAGGGATGCAGCCCCGGTAGGGGTCCTTCGCGGAGACCCCTCTTGAGGATAGGGTTTAGTATAGGACTTTGGGTGTACTTAGGGTGCCCAATCCCCTTCAGCCGAGCAATCCACCCTTTTCGGAACAACAAGCCCGGCTTAAGGTAGATTATATTTCAAACAAACATGAAACTAATGCTGGAGCCGTCCCGTGCCTCTTCAAAGAGGCGGGGCGGTACGTGCCACCACTCAGATCGCAAGCGGCCGCCTAGGGGTTATGGTTTAGCTTGGGATGCAAATTGAAACTCGAGCCCGTTACCCCCTTAAGGAGTATGTCAAACAGGGCTTTCCGCGCTCCAGGTTGGTCCTCAAAGCTCCTGTGGCCCTCAAGCAGCTCTCTGACCACTACAAGGGCCCTGGAGGGCACCACCCGAAGGTTTTTGTGAGTACTTTGAAGCCCTGTATCCCTTAGCCGAAGCACCTCCAAAGCCTGAACTGCTTCGCCCAGGATGAGCTTTCAAGGGGGAACGCTTAACAAACAACAATGATCGTTGCAAAGAGATCCTTTGTTGAAACTTTGTTTTTTTTTTTTTTTTGTTGGGGGGGGGGGGGGGGCCTCCTTCAGCAGGGCCTACTTGAAGGTTGATGGGTAGCTATAAGTAGGGTTACAAGCCCCCTAAATAAGCTTCTACCCAGTGAAAGTCATAGCAAGTCGCCAAGCTGCGATTTGGTGGATGGAGGGCGCCTTTGTGTGGCTGCACGGCTTTCCAGTGCTTGCCCCAGTGCACGCCGACCTCCGCTGGATGGATGGACTATCTGGCCTCTTGGGGCTTTGGGGCGCGATAGGCCTTGCGCCCGTGCCTGATGGTTCAGGGTTTAGGGTTTGCCCCTGATGCTCTAGACACTGGGTGCTGCTTGGGGAGAGGATGCACGATCGCAAGTACCCAGCGCGACATGGGCACAAGGCAGCCCACGTTTGCAAGATACGAGAATGAATCTCAAGACATTAAAACATTCTGTGCATAATATCAGTATGCAAAAGAATTATATTATATATATAGATGCAGATAAAGATGTGGGTGTGTGTAGGCATGCTATGCATGAGTATGCCTGCGTACCCCCGCAAATATTTAGTGATTGTTATAGGACCCCCCACCCCCCCTCCCCCCAAAAAAAAACATAAATAAAAATAACTAACAAACAAATCATGGTATTTTGGGTAGGTAGTCTTGCACGGATATAAGCCCTCAACCCCCCCCCCCCCCAAAAAAAAAAAAAAAAAAAAAAACTGCTGTCAAACAATGCCCGCGCTGGAAGGCACCTGGCGGCCCAAGATCTCCAACGAAGAGCCGGCAGTTTTGGTAATGTGCCTCGAAGGGTTTAGGGCTTTAGGCTTTAGGCCTTAGGGCTTAGGGTTTAGGGTTTAGGGCTTTAGGCTTTAGGGCTTAGGGTTTAGGGCTTTAGGGTCCAGGGTTTCAGGGCTTAGGTTTGTCATTGGGCGTGCAGGGTTTGTGGGTTTCAGAGGCCCACACCCCCCACCCACCCTCACACTGACACATACACATACCCCCCCCCCCAAAAAAAAAATAATAAAACAATAATAAAATAATAATAAAATAATAAAAAATAATAATAAAATAATAATAAAATAATAATGATAATAATAAGAATAAATAATAATAATAAATAAAACAGAACAACTCCAACCCCCCCTCCAAAAAAAACACACACACACACACAAAAAAAAAAAAAAACAAGCTCCAAGCATGTCACCAAGCTGCAGCAACTTGAGCCGGGCAAAGTCGCAGCGACCAGGACTCCGGCTGTGGCCGCGTGCGACCATGTGGGTTCTGTGTATAACCCCTAAACCCTAAACCCTAATGAACCCTAAACCCTAAACCCTAATAAACCCTAAGCCCTAAACCCTAATAAACCTAAAGCCCTAAACCCTAATAAACGCTTAACCCCAAAAAAACCTACACCCTAAACCTTAAATGTGGAGCTACAATCTTTGGAGCTTTGAGATTTTGAGTTGGTATTAATTGCTTCAGGGCTTTGGATGTGTCAAATCTCTTGTTTGGTTTAGGGTTTGGGACTTAGGGTGCAGGGTCCACTGATACGGATTGGGCTAACTCATCGTCTGGCTTATTGTCTGGGTTTCTGGGATTTGGCTTAGGGTTTAGGCGTGGGCCCCGGAGTAGGGTTTTTTTTTAGGCTTAGGATGCGTGCGGGTGCAAAGGCACCAAACCAATCTGCAGTCAGAGCCGAAACGGCCGACCTCGACGCGCTTACATGACCCCAAAGCTGGCCTAAGCCGTAAGCCTGAAATCATAAACCTAAAGCCTTTACCAGTCTCTATTCCTTAGTGCCTCGGATCGCTCTAGCGCAGGACACCTACTTTGCTGGTAACGATCCCACGAGTCCATGGCCCACTAACTTCTCTAACCTTCCTGAAACCTAAGGCTTAGGGTTCAGGGTTTGAGGTTCAAAGTTTAGGGCCGATAGAACCAGTATTCCCTCAGCCTTGCTTGTATCCGGGGTTGAGGGCTTAAATGATCAACCCAAAAAGCACTCTAAGCCTGCCACGCTTTTGGGGAAAGCTGCCATTCATCATGATGGTTTGGGGTTTAGGGGTTTAGGGTTTAGGGTTCTTAGGGTTCTTAGGGTTCTTAGGGTTCTTAGGGTTCTTAGGGTTCTTAGGGTTCTTAGGGTTCTTAGGGTTCTTAGGGTTCTTAGGGTTCTTAGGGTTCTTAGGGTTCTTAGGTTTCTTAGGTTTCTTAGGTTTCTTAGGTTTCTTAGGTGTTAGGGTTTTAAGGTCTAGGGTTCTCAGGTTTTTGGGTTTGCCCAGCTTTCCCAAATTTGGACCCCATGACTGCTAGATGGCATTCACAGAGACCCTATCTTGCAAAGCCCATGTTTCCAACCCTTCGCCCTAAACCTCTATCCTAAAACCTGAGCCCGAAAACCCAACTAAGTTGAAGGACCCATGCCTGAAACCCAAAAGGGTAAATTTGCCTGAGGTTACCTCGATCTCTGCGAGGAAACTCTCCGTAGATCCATCGCGAAATCGGCCCTTCAGGACCTGCGAAGGGTGTGGGGCGTAAACCTAACTATAATTTGCTTAAGACTTAATTCTTACCCCAAAGCATAGAAGACAATCATCCCTGTGTTTCCCCCTAGAAGGCAGAATATTGAGTGTTTTTGGGAGGTTCTAAAGCAAATAGTAGCTAAACGCTAACCCTCCACCCTTAGGGTTCTTTGTCCTGCTTCATGCTGGAGATTCCTCGTTTTCGAGCCTTTAGGGTCTTGGATTCCAAAAAATTGCGTTTGGCTAAACCCTAAACCACCCAAAAACCTAAACCCTGAACCCTGAACCCTAAACCCTAAACCCTAAACCCTGAACCCTGAACCCTGAACTCTGAACCCTGAACCCTGAACCCTGAACCCTAAACCCTAAACCCTAAACCCTAAACCCTAGCGGGTGTTCGGGCTCAGGGTGCTGCAGGGCTGACACCTCCTGGGCTGAGGGGTTTTGGGGGTTGTGAGGATTTCGGGGTTAGGGCTTAGGGTTTAGGGTTTAGCGCATTTAGGGCTTAGTGCTTGTAGGGCTCAGCGGCTCAGGGTTAGGGCAGTCAGAGTGCGACAACAAAACGCGAGCACGCGCGTGACGAGTTGTTTCAATGGAGGCCAGCTGTACTAGCGCACATCAGAGTGCCTGCCCTGGTTCTGGCATGGTGGAGAAGCTAGGATGGCCCGTAAAACCCTCTGAAAAAAATTCCTGAATATGATCCTCTTAAACCCAATCGGAGAAAACATAAACTGTCCCAAGGGCCTACCGAGGAAGAGTCCCAGGGCTCGTGGTGAGAGGCTTAGGGCTTAGGGTTTAGGGTTTGGGGTTTAGGGTTTAGGGTTTAGGGTTTAGGGAACCCTGAATACCTCAATCCCCCTAAACCCCGCAAGTTCAGGGGCTCCAGAACTTGACCCTATGAGGCCCTGTTCTTCCCAGAAGTCCTGTAGACTATAAGCCCTACAAGCCCTTCGAGCCCTGTGGGCTGCCCCTTAAACCCTTGAAACCCCAAACCCTCAACCCATTCAGCCCTGTAAGCCCCGAAACCCTAAACCCTAAACCCTAAACCTACAAAAAGCCTAAACCCCAAGCAAAAGTGGCAGCGCCCAATTGCCTTCTTCACGGCGCGCGCTCCTTCCTGCCCCCGACAAGAGAGGATTGTAAGAATGCAATGAAAGACAAAGGGCTCACCCTAAACCCTAAACCCTAAACCTTAAACCCTAAACCCTGGGTTTAGGGTTTTAGGTTTCAGGTTTTTAGGATCTCAGAGTCTGAGGGTTAAGGGCATTCATGAAGGGATCCCAAGGACTCCCAGAATGAAAGGATCCTTGAAGACGTTAGGACGGACCACTGCCTGCTACTGCAGTAGACTAGTCTCCCTCAAGCCAGTGTTCATGGCTATATGTGGGCCCTAGATGCATACCCGTCTAGGATGACCCTTAAGCCCTCTGGAAAAAATGTTGCTAGAAAGACCATCCCCTTAAACCCAATAGGGGAATATCTTTACACATCGCAGGGGCCTGCCTCGCATTAAGCCCGCAATATTTCGGCATGGCGTTCATGCAGCAACGAGATTTCGGAGACCTTGGGATGACTGACGATAGCATCCTCCCCCTGAGAACCATTTTCCGTTGGGTTGTGTCCGAACCAAAGTAAAACACGGTCCAGTTCGTGAGGGATATGTAGTGGTTCTAGACCCTCACGTTAAGCTCCCACATTTCCCAAAACCTTCTCAACACCCACGTCCCCACACTCAGCCACACCACTCGCCAGATTGACTGCAGGTGTCGGACGAACTTCTAAGGATCCCAACAGGCTACGTAAGAAGGCAACTACAAGGGGCTTTAGATCACAACCCGCAGAAGAGGTGAGCGCCGCTTCTTGAAGTACTGGAAGTGTGCATGGTTTGGTTTGAGCATCTAACTCTGCACCCTAAACCCTGAACCAAAGGATGAAATGTAGCTGATTTAGGTCCTTGGCGCAATCCCAGAGCCCAAGACCCTCCCAAACCACTGTGCAATCTGGATCTGCAGCCTGAAAAACCCGTTTTGAATAAATCCTGAACTCTGGCCGGGGGGGGGGAGCCCTAGGGGGTATTATGGCCTACTAGGCTACCAACCTTAACCTCCCCCGCTCTCTCTGATCCTGTTGGCTGACACATCCCTGAACCCCCCCCAACCCCCAACCCGCAACCCCCGCCCCGCACAAAACAAAGGTTGTAAAAAAGTAGATTAGAGGAACAAAAACAATAAATAAACATATATACATATACTAATATTTTATATATACACATATATATAAGATAGAAATAGTATGCTAATTAAACCCTTGAACCTCGAAACCTCCTTCAAGCCTTGCAAAACATACGCCCTTGTATGCCGGGCTTTTCAGAAACTTAAACTGAGTTGCCAGAATCAAAGTTAGATAGCCATGATTTTGTGGTAACTTGGTTGCCTGGCTAACTTGGTTATCCTCGGCAAGAACTCAATTTATATACCTCCTATAGCCCTAAACCCTAAACCCTAAACCCGAAACCCTGAAGCAATCAACTCCGAACCCCCGGCGCCTGGCCACTCACGAGCCGAGGCATGGATGTCCCCGAATCAACGCGCGGAAAAGCCTACAGGGTTTATTGAAATTATTACGTAAGGGTTCAGGTCTGGGGAAGTTTCGGGGAGTTTCGAGGAGTTTCGAGGCGTTTCTGTTTTGGATTTTTTGGAATAATTTCAAGTTACAGGGGCTTGAGGGTTTAGGGTTTAGGGTTTAGGGTTTAGGGTTTAGGCTTTAGGGTTTACAGTTTAGGGTTTGCTGTAGGGTTTCGGGTTTAGGGTTTAGGGTGCACTTTGGGGCTTTAGAAGTAAGGGTTTAGGGGTGAAGGGTTTGAGGACT